ATCACGATAACGGATGTTTTACTCACGTTGAAGTAACATGCTTTTTCCACTCATTAAATGACGGATACGTCTCGGTTGCTGAAGGCTGTACCGAGCAGATTTTTCACGATGGCAAATCAAATTATTTTCAATTTCAATATATGTCTAATCGAACGAGTATATGATTTCATTTATCATATGTTACACAAGACGGTTAGGCGATGGATTACTACAAGTATATACGTAATAATAATGAAATTGTTTATAGGATTCCATTTCAAACTTCTCTTTGAAAACAAGAGGCCCAAGGGGCCTGCATCGCTAACCTGGCTATTTCAGCTAATCATCAATTTGATAATGAATTGCATGTATGGCAAATGATTTCTGATATAATTTCCTTTTTTCGTTCCGGCATTTGGCCACAAATTAAAGACACACAAGTCAGATTAACTGTTCATAAAAATGTTTCAGACCACTCCTCCCACCCCAGGCTGGGGTGTGTGTGTATGTGTGTGTGCGCAAATGTACTTTTTATACAGAACTGATTTCCCTTCACCCATGAATACGTCAGACCGAATTTGGGCAAATCCATTCATTCATACAGGATTAATAGGATTGGGGACTGAAAACCAATCCTTATACAAACTTCGTTTCTTCTTTCCCAATGATGTTTCAGATTAAATTTTGGCAAAATCCAATCATTCTTACAGGAGGAGAAGGATTTTAAAGAATTTACTCTATTTTCCCTATTAAACTACAACCAAGGGGACCGAGACCTAACTGTTATACAAAATTGATTCCCTTCACTCAATGAATGCTTCAGAAGATAGACAACAGAAAGGAGGCGACTGGAACATAACAGGCAACAACAGGAATTAGGAGGACGTCAAAAAACAGGAAAAACATAAACATATAGGAGACAATAACATGAGCGAAAGCATCAGGAATTAGAGTGACATCAAAATTATTAGAACCTCAACATAAAGAAACACTGGAGAACAGAAGAAACACAAACAATGAATCGGGAATAAACTATATAGAAAACTAAGGAATTCAGAGGACATCACAAACAAATGAAACTAAAGGAATTAAAGGGTCGTCATAGCAACGGAAAAACAGACCTGAAATTGAGAAAAAAAAACAGAGGACAAATCGGAGCATATTGAAAAAACTGAAATTAGGGGGCTATCTAAACAAAAGGAACAACCCTGGGTTTCAGTTTTGTTTACAAAATGAATGCGATAATAAAAAGTATACTTGAAACGTGAAGATAGCAATAGAGACGGAAATATCAAGTGAGTTAGGAGATCGGGTACCATGAACTGGAAAGGAATGGAGATATAAAGAGAGTTAGGAGATCAGGGACCAGGAGCTGGAAAGAGACGGAGATATCAAGTGAGTTAGGAGATCGGGGACCAGTAACTGGAAAGGAATGGAGATATAAAGAGAGTTAGGAGATCAGGGACCAGGAGCTGGAAAGAGACGGAGATATCAAGTGAGTTAGGAGATCGGGGACCAGGAACTGGAAAGGAATGGAGATATAAAGAGAGTTAGGAGATCAGGGACCAGGAGCTGGAAGGAGACTGAAATATAAAATATAAAGAGAGTTAGGAGATCGGGGATCAGTATACCCGTATTGCATTACCAGTATACCGGGATTGTATTACTTTGTGTCAAGCTTAATATTAATGTCGACACAGATGTTTAGAATGGGGTCTTAATAACTTTCAAAGATAATCCTCTTGGACATGGATACAAAAACTTATCTTGTTGTTTATATAGAAATTTCCGTGATATTCCACCTTCATCCTCTCGGAGGTAGGATGTAAAACTTGAACTCGCTGGCCTCACTGCACGATACCATAGAGGCGACAAAGAATTAAACTTGGCATATTTTGCGTCTATTATTAATGTTTCATGTTACATTTTATAGTCACTTGTCAGACTTTCAAACAGCTCCTTTTTTTAAACTAGCCTTACCATAATTTCTCCAACGGCCTTCTCTTATACTGACACGACAGAACCCCCACTTCTCGATTCGAGAGCATAGTCAAGTTGGTCTGTATATGTATTTAACACGGCAATACAGAGCCTATACTTGCTAAAAACAGGTATAATAAGGCCAAAACCCATGTATTTTCTTCAAAGTACGCACTTTTCGAGAATATGCTGCAGGAAGTTACGATATGCCATTTCAGGTTACCATTTGAGTTTCTGTGTCAAACTGATTTATTTCCTACATTTGTAAATGTCGTTTGCTTGTTATGATAGAAATATGTCTGGGCGTTTGAAAAAAGAAAATAAAGTAATTTTAAAATTAAAGAAATTATTTGAAATGGAAAGGCATAATTCACCACCGTAATAACTTTCTAATGATTTTGTGACATGATCCGTACCATTGCTGCCGTAACAACTTCATGAATACAAATCTCCAAAGTCATAGAACATGCAACAAAATCCAAACAATGTTTGGTATGTTTAATATTCCTCTTATATATTGGTGTTATGCTATCAATAAAGAACAGTCTTTGATTTTATTCAGGTCCATATATATTTACGATGCATTGTCTTTAAATAAAAAGAAATCAGTTGACATGTTGAAATTTCCTTTATATTTTTTTACCATATCCGTGGCATACACTTTTCAAAATTTTAAAATCAAGGACAGCACAGATCTAGACTACTTAATCTCAACCAAGACCTTTCTCACTAAGTTACATAGAACACCTGATACGGTTTCAGTTTTTTTTTAATTTCCAGTTTCAGATAGTAACAACTGTGCTTTGTAATATTCCGTTTTAAATGTCGGCATTGAAGCTTTCTTTGACTGGTACCGAATATCATTTGATTTCTAGGTTAAATATTAGCAACCATCGGTCGCTATCTTGATACAATTGGAAAATGTTATATTTGGTGATATGAAGTTTGCTATTTTAAATCTCGTACGGAATTACAAGTAGTTTTCTTGTTATTAACTTGGTCTTCATTTGAAAAGGTAACATTACATACGAATGTCCTCGAAGCAGACTCTCCTGGTGTTGTTCTCTGTTTACATCCGTCCAACCCTTAAATTAAATCTTGATTTCTATATCTGTTCACAAGTATTCGATGGATTTCAAATGTAGGGTTCCTTTGTATTTATTTGTGCAATGATGATTTTGAGCTTAGTTGCAAAAAAGAAGTCTTTGACAAGCTACCGCTTTGAATACTGACAATTTGTGACTATAAATGTTAATTCTCATTACACTATGGATGTTTATCAAAGGAACCTTCATACAAGATATCATATTTTAACTGGGGGATTTAGATATTTGAAACTGCAGAAAAACATGGAAATACTCGCAGATTTTGCTTTCAACTATGCCTTGTTATTCAGTGACTATACAAATGTAATCATATTTTTACGTATTGCACTTGTGTAATATATAACTTATTGTGATGTTAGGTTAAATAACGTAAAATAATCCACATATTACATTGTCAGGTAACCAAGGAGACATTGATAGCGTGTCATCGAGACTTCAAGTGCGACATGGATATGGTTTGTTTTTACATTATCTACCTGAATAATCAATTATGTGATGAAAATGATCTAATATTCGTTTCCATTGGATACAAGATTTATGATATTTGTCACATTCCTCCCGAAACACCTGATTCGTGTAAATCTTCTTTGGTCTCCTTCACATTCGTCGATCTTGAGCTTGGGTTATCATTCCGTTATCTTGCTGGCTTTTTCTTGATTTTATTTATTATTATTTTCGTAGAGATTAAAAGAGCATGAGATGTACAATACATTTTCCGCGGGTGAAATGAATGACATGTCGACCATGTTGCCGTGCGAAATACCATTGCAGACCATTTGATGCTTCTCCTACATAACCGAAAGTTACAAAGGAATGAAATGTTTGATGACAGCGCAGTAAAAACAACAAGAAAATACCAACATAATTATAATCCAAACTCAATTTCAATAAAACTTGAAAAAAGAACACGGAGAATAAGACCATATATTCAGGAAGGTTAAGCGTTTCCTGCTTCATCGACGACACCCTTCATGTAAACCTTGGTAAATCCAAGTAAGCAATGTCACGTTCTCGAATAAGAACAAGGTATACAATAACGGAACCAACAGGCAAACTGACGAGCATCAAATACGTCCAGCTTCACATTGCACAAAGATATTGCAGAGTAAACAATTGAGCAATTAATATCTATTTAAAATAGAATATTTACATACGATACACTGAATAAGTAGACCTGTCATTTTTAATCCCCGGATTTTTTTATCGGTATGAAATATGCATATTTTTATGGTCGTAACTGAATGGGTCATAGGTCTTTCTACATAGCTTGAAAAAGATAAGTTGATAATCTGATAATGATAGCGACAGCACAGTCTTTCCTTTATAAAGACATGAGGTTGATTGTTATCAACCAATTATGATAATTACTGGTAGTACGTTGTAATTTGTTTACCGTTAGACTACTAGAAACCAGGCTGTTTATTTACATTGCATAATCAGTAGTTAGCTAGTAAACAAAGAACGTAATTCAAGGCAAAATTTTGAAAATATGAGGACTTTTCTTTTTATAAAAACGCAAAATGTACGGAGTCTCACATCTGATTGAAGGGGTTGTACACAAATAGAGATAGGAACATGTAACACAAGGAAGGATATTTAGGAACATGTGAAATACCGAGGGATATATAGGGACACGTGACATACGGGGGGGGAGGTTATGTAAGGACATTTGACATACCGTGGGATATAATAGGGACACGTGACATAAGGAGGGATAAATGAATCGATATTATACATTGCATAGAAATAGACACATGTATTAACACGTTGTCAGATGGTTATATACACGATTGATTACATAAACGACGATCGCCAGTGTACCGTGGTAGCAGTCCGTACATACAACCTTAATAGACGGTAAAAGCATACCTATAGTACACAGACTTAAATGGTCATTGTTACCATCACACGGTAATCGATTCCTGCTCATTGACGTCACAACTGCGTGGTAGGATCCATTTGTGAATTCCTTCTCTCCCGGAAGTGATCTACTGTTGTCGATAAATCACGTTGAAAGTGGTCATACATCCGGGCTCTTTGTTTTGTGTCATCATCTTCTAGACCGGATGTTCGTCTCATATGTGCTCTTGGAATGTATAGGTCTTTGCTTTTCGGAAGTTTTAGTTGTCCACTCTAAAAAAAAAATCAGTAAAAAACATTCAACATGATCGTGTTGCCACTCCCGTGCGTTTTCATGCTTATAACTACGTTTTAATTGGTTTGCCTGTTGAAGTCGTATCGTGTTTAAAGTCCCAGATATTTTAGCAAACTAAACAATTTATCAATTAACGTCATAGTATTGTTATTAATGACATGATGAAGTTTCACTGCGGTTTGTATGTCCCACTAATCAAAGTTCTATGCTGATATAAAGGACGTGGAGCACCTCATGTCATATATACTATATACTTGTATAGCTAGAGTGGAACATCCAGATGGTACAGAATACTTAAAAATAAGTCATTATAGACAATGATCAGTCATTAATGTAGGGAATACACTGAAGCAGTCCGACCGTACAGAACATCTAGAGATAAGCCTTTGTACATAGGGAATAATTTAAATCGTACATTAAAAAATTATTATTTTTAATTGATATCAACACTACGCTTCTCATTAATTAATAATCGGGATATCTCTAGCATCAGTAGCTGTACTTGATTCATTAGTTCATAGCTACATATGATTCGTCGTGTCGAGGTTCTGACATATAGGTCTACAGGGAAAATCACATAATGTTAACCGCGATAATAACAAGTGCCGTAGTCACGCTCGTCTGCACTTCCTGGGTACCAGAGCGTATACATAGGTCCATAACTATTACATTACCGATGTATTGTAATTAAAACATTTTTTTTTCATTTCCTATTTTCCGGGATATTTTTTTAATTCCTTTCAAAAGAAAGGAGATATAAATCTCTACTGATATATGTTTCAGGAATAATGTGATTTGTTTATTATAGCTGGCGCCAATTGTTTATTATGTCGGGTGTACCTAGGGGTATTATATCGCCAACCATGGAAATCGTATGCGAGGAAATATATTACGTAATGTAACAACAAATCTTGATAAAGAAAAACATGCATGTTTATGGCGTAATATTTACGTCCTGTGTACCATGTCTATTGTAAACTTAAAATATTTACGTCCTGTGTAGTATGTCTATTGTAAACTTATATTTACCTCCTGTGTACCATGTCTATTGTAAACTTAAAAAATTTACGTCCTGTGTACCATGTCTATTGTAAACTTATATTTACCTCCTGTGTACCATGTCTATTGTAAACTTATATTTACCTCCTGTGTACCATGTCTATTGTAAACTTATATTTACCTCCTGTGTACCATGTCTATTGTAAACTTAAAATATTTACGTCCTGTGTACCATGTCTATTGTAAACTTATATTTACCTCCTGTGTACCATGTCTATTGTAAACTTATATTTACCTCCTGTGTACCATGTCTATTGTAAACTTATATTTACCTCCTGTGTACCATGTCTATTGTAAACTTATAATATTTACCTCCTGTGTACCATGTCTATTGTAAACTTATATTTACTTGTGTACCATGTCTATTGTAAACTTATAATATTTACCTCCTGTGTACCATGTCTATTGTAAACTTATGATATTTACCTCCTGTGTACCATGTCTATTGTAAACTTATAATATTTACCTCCTGTGTACCATATCTATTGTAAACTTATAATATTTACCTCCTGTGTACCATGTCTATTGTAAACTTATATCATATAGGACGTAATATTTACCTCCTGTGTACCATGTCTATTGTAAACTTATATCATATAGGACGTAATATTTACCTCCTGTGTACCATGTATATTGTAAACTTATAATATTTACCTCCTGTGTACCATGTCTATTGTAAACTTATATCATATAGGACGTAATATTTACCTCCTGTGTACCATGTATATTGTAAACTTATAATATTTACCTCCTGTGTACCATGTCTATTGTAAACTTATATCATATAGGACGTAATATTTACCTCCTGTGTACCATGTATATTGTAAACTTAAATATATTTACCTCCTGTGTACCATGTGTTGTAAACTTATAATATTTACCTCCTGTGTATGTCTATTGTAAACATTGTAATATTTACCTCCTGTGTACCATGTCTATTGTAAACTTATAATATTTACCTCCTGTGTTCCATGTCTATTGTAAACTTATAATATTTACCTCCTGTGTACCATGTCTATTGTAAACTTATAATATTTACCTCCTGTGTACCATGTCTATTGTAAACTTATATCAGATAGGACGTAATATTTACCTCCTGTGTACCATGTCTATTGTAAACTTATAATATTTACCTCCTGTGTACCATGTCTATTGTAAACTTATATCAGATAGGACGTAATATTTACCTCCTGTGTACCATGTCTATTGTAAACTTATAATATTTACCTCCTGTACCTCCTGTGTACCATGTCTATTGTAAACTTATAATATTTACCTCCTGTGTACCATGTCTATTGTAAACTTATAATATTTACCTCCTGTGTACCATGTCTATTGTAAACTTATATCATATAGGACGTAATATTTACCTCCTGTGTACCATGTCTATTGTAAACTTATAATATTTACGTCCTGTGTACCATGTCTATTGTAAACTTATATCAGATAGGACGTAATATTTACGTCCTGTGTACCATGTATATTGTAAACTTATAATATTTACGTCCTGTGTACCATGTCTATTGTAAACTTATATCAGATAGGACGTAATATTTACCTCCTGTGTACCATGTCTATTGTAAACCTATAATATTTAAGTCCTGTGTACCATGTCTATTGTAAACTTATAATATTTGCCTCCTGTGTACCATGTCTATTGTAAACTTATAATATTTACGTCCTGTGTACCATGTCTATTGTAAACTTATATCAGATAGGACGTAATATTTACCTCCTGTGTACCATGTCTATTGTAAACTTATAATATTTACGTCCTGTGTACCATGTCTATTGTAAACTTATAATATTTACCTCCTGTGTACCATGTCTATTGTAAACTTATAATATTTACCTCCTGTGTACCATGTCTATTGTAAACTTATAATATTTACGTCCTGTGTACCATGTCTATTGTAAACTTATATCAGACAGGACGTAATATTTACCTCCTGTGTACCATGTATATTGTAAACTTATAATACATGCCTCCTGTGTACCATGTCTATTGTAAACTTTTATTAGATATAGCCTAATATTTATCTCCTGTGTAGAAAGTCATTTGTAAAATCTATTTTAGATACAACAGGCCCAAGGGGCCTTAACGGTCACCTGAGGAATATATGTCAATAGTCTGGGGATTTCAAAATGTTGCAAAAATGTAACAACACTTGTGCAGGACAGTGTGTAAAACATCTGTACCAAGTTTGAACATGATCCACCCAGTGGTTCTTGAGAGGAAGTCCAAAATGTCTTAGCCAAACAGAGGCCAGGGTTGCACATTTATATAAAGCAAATCATGTTTTCATTTGCAAGTTGAAATATAGCTTAGTAGATACATGTATAGCTAAAGTATACATAAAATCAGATCAATTTCAAGTCTATCCACAATCTTTTCCTTGCCTAATACAATAAGGCATCCAACTAAAAAAACTCATATAAAACAACGTGAAAAAATCTTGTGGTACTTCTGAGACAGGAATATATGTACAGGTATTGAACCATATTATACATGTAGCTCAGAACATAGAAGGTTCAGCGAGTAATAAGATCCGGGTTTAATGAAATTTCTGGCTGCACATTTTTTCTCGCCTTTATGGTTGTCATAAACACACAACAAGTCTTTATTAAAGATTAATATGTAACAAATATCAGAAGGGATAATTTTGGACCAGTTATTTTTATTCTTACAAACTTTGCAGTCCTTTCCCTAAAGATCAGCTATATGAAGTTACACTTTTGGTTCAGGACAACAAGATTTGCTAAGATTTAACAAATTCTACCCCTTTCTGCCCCATAAATATGCCCCCATTGAGGCCACACCTTTTTCTATTGTAAACTTAAAGAAGCTTACTTTACCAAATTTTACCACCACCTGGGGCCTCTATTGCAGCCATATCTTTTATTCCCCAAAATAAATGTGTCTTATTACACAGATGCTTTGTGCTTAGTGTGGTTGTAAACCAAAAACATGGTCAATGCCATTAGAGCCCATTTAAAAAATCTAATTGACCACTTTTTGCCCCCTCTTGTAGCCCCTATTGGAGCCACACCCTTTCCTTTCGCAAACTTGATGCATCTTCCTATAGGGATACTTTATGCCAAGTTTGGTTGAAATCCATCCAGTGGTTCTTGAGAAGAAGTCGAAAATGTTAAAAGTTAACAACGCACGACGCACGACGACAGACAAATCTTGATGGCAATAGGTCACCATCAGCCTTTGGCTCAGGTGACCTAACAAGTTAACGACGCACGACGCACGAACTTAATCTGACTGTTGATTCATGCGAAGAAGATTTTCAAAGATTTACCTAATTTTACCCCCTTTTTCCCCTCCTGGGGCCCCTATTGGGGCCACGCCCTTTTTCTTCGCAAACTTGAAGCGGCTTCCCATGGGGATGCTTTGTGCCAAGTTTGGTCAAAATCCATTCAGTGGTTCTTTAGAAGAAGTCGAATATGTGAAAAGTCAACCACGCACGACGACAGACAAATCATGATGGCAATAGGTCACTATGAGCCTTCGGCTCAGGTGACCTAAACATGAAACATTTTCATAACTATGATGTACTCTTTCGATCCATCATTTCATTTTTCTGTTAGACCGTACCATTGTTAACTCCTCAATGTCTGATTTTTTTTCTGCGTTCCTTTTACCTTCATTTCTAAAACTGACTCCGTTCCTCTTTATCGCATTACGTCATGTTAACGTTCTAGTATCAGTTATTGGTTATTAAAATTTGTTTTGAAAATAAATTTGATTTTAATATGCGTCATTTGCAATGAAATATCTATGATATACAGCTACCGATTTCCATCAGCGTGTAATTGGTTTTAATTGGCGCTCCTCCCTAACTGTGAAAGTTGCAAAAGCCGCACCTTTTCCATTTTCTCTTTATCCATTGGATAACAGCTATTGTCTGAACTGACGTAATTTCAGGTGATTATAGATATTAAAATTTAATGTGTGTTTTAGTGTTTATCTTACATAAGACAATATATCGAAAAATTACGGACATTAACAAAGTAGAATTCCATATCGATACAAAGAAAATACCAGGATCTGCTGAAATAGACTACAAAAGGAGAATCGATTTAGACCATTAAGCAGGTGCTACCTTACATTTCATGTACTTCCGTTGCAACACACGTTACGTCAGTGACGATATGACAGGTGTTGTTTTACAACATTAATTCCGCAATATCAATATTTACTGTTAATGTTTTTGTAATTTTATCTCTACAATGATACTTTTTTATATGTACGTAGATTTCGTCTCGTAATTTATAATTAAGAATAGATTATAATAAAAAGATCCAAGTTTCTGAACTTTCAATTTTCTAGTAGTGCACACCAGCCTTGATAGGCCCTCGTCTGATCAATAGGACAGAAAACGGGAATGGGCAATCCCTTTCAAATGGTCTTTCAGGTGGAACCAAACCGATGATTGAAATAACAAACTTCACCCTTTACTAATTGTTTCCTTATTAGGAATTGTACATAATCACTTACTCATTTCCCTTACTTATTAAAATAGAATGGAATCACCCTTTTCCTCGAATTATCAGAAATTAACCAAATGATAACCTGGCCCTTTTTCACCATTGCTTTTCTCTGCTTTATCAGAAACAGAATAATCATTCGTATTTAAGCCTTATTCCCTCTGTAAGTTTCTGTAAATTTTCAATTGCGTATCAACCCACCTCCTTCAACAGTTCCTCTAAAATCTGGTTATCCAACAGGAACCGGTGAAGCAAGGACAGCACTATCTTTTCCGGCACATGTTCCCGGAAGTTGTGGAGAATCGCCGACCCCTGTAAAATCCATGCAAAAAATGACATAAGTCAAAATAACAATTCGATACATGCTTCAACAGTATACATATAAATATAACAACCAAATTACCTTAAGGCAATAAACAAAACGAGACGGTGTTTTCATACGTGAATGGTTTTCAATTCACAAATAGAAAGAATTCAAACTGATAACTGAAAAAATGACAACACTTAAACATAAAGTGTACAATTAAAATTGTTTTACTTCAAAACTATTTTTATAACACAATTTAATTATTGATTACATGCTTTAAAAATTTCATATTTACAAAGTAAACGGCGATAGCCACACCCATGGCAAGCCCGACGACAACATCGTCCCAGTGACAAACCCTCAACCCGTACTCCAGTAGTCCACACAGCAACGCCAGCATGACGAAGGCAAGTGAGAGGAACGGTCTTATGATGCGGACAGAGCGGGTACGCATGGCACCGTGCAGGTATATCTTAGCACATGTAAAGAAGACAATTAAGCAATCACTTAGACATTGCTTTCAGAAAGGTGTACAAAGTAGTGAGGTTGATGAAAAACACGAGGGAAATTTTATTGCCGTCATAATGATCTACAGGCTGGTGTCGACGATAAAGCAGCTTACTCTTCTTTAACACATGTTTTTATTCTCCTTGTTATTTTTCAAGAGTCTCCGTGCAAAAACCTTTTTTTGTTTTAAGTTGGAACTAAGATTCTGTTGACATTTTGGTATTTTTCATTGTTGGTTTTCAAACCCTTTACACTAGCTGACGATGTTTGAAGGACAACAATTCAATCCCTATCCTTCGGGCCATTGTTTATACCATGATATACCAAGTATTCGGTGAATATAAAGTAGACCTTGCTTCATTATCATTATATAACCCAATGTATTTAAATGATACAAACTTCAAGAAAACGATCCTTAATTCCTCGAAATAACATTAAATTATCAACCATAACATTCTACATAGATTTTTGTGGTCTGATATACCTTGGGCGAAGGCAAGTATTTCATTATCATCATATCGCTGTTTTAATTAAACCTAGTAAGACTCCTTTCTCCGAGATGTTTCGTTATTAAGAAGTCAACAAGCATTTTTTTTTAAATATTATATCTAATTGGGTATTACCTTAAGACATTGGCATTTACAGAAATTGGATATGCTAGCAGGCTTACCGTTAGAAATATAGCAGAATAGGCCGAAAGAGCGGAATACATCGACGGAAACGAGGTTCTGCAAAATAAAATGTGAAATGATATCAACTACATAACAGTAAACGATTAAACCACTAATTCTTTCGGGGTAAAAATTCAGGATTTTATCGCGAGATTTTTTACTCGAGAAGTTGAACAAATGATTTGTGGATTTTAAAAAAAAACCTCAAAGAGCGTTGACATTCTCAGCTAAAAAGTATTTAATTTAGATGTATATATATATATTCCTACTCTGTACACCACCATAACCTATTCTAAAGATCATCCAAACAGACTATTAGCAAAACCTGCGAGGACAAACTGTGATCCATTCGTTTTTTGTTCTAATACTAGGCTAAAATTACCATAAAGCTAATTAAAACAGGTCACACAGACTTCAATTTCACTTTCAGATATAATGATGACGTCTTTAGATTAAAAAAAATACTGATCACGTTCATCGTATATACTAATAACACTTGGAAATAAAGGACACGACATTCTTCTACATCAGCCGCTAAAAACATGATAATTTTTTTCTCAAGCTGTATGATAAATGTGATGATTTCAATTTCTCTAAAATGAATCTATTTGTTGATAACGACATTCCTGCAATATTTCAGCAACTGACAAATTTAAAAACATAGCGATTCGAGAACTGATCAATGGAGTAGTGTTACAGTCATCACGGCAATCTCCTTGAGAAATGTTATCTTTATTTGTGGAAAATGAAGCTGTACGTTTGTGATGTTCATATGAAACTTCCTCTTATTTGAGATTGTAAGATAACTTATTTGGATTGATCGATAATCAGAAGACGCTAAACCCTTCCGGAACATCTGGTCTTATTCTCCTTGTACTTTTTCTATAGTCGCTGTGTAAGTCTTTCTTTTATTGTTGTATGCTATAGTTTCATCGAATTCATGTTTCAATAAGGTTTCTTTTTATGGTATTTGTCATATCAACTGGAAACACGAACACATGAGCGTAAGACTTATCGTAATGCGCTGACAGACTTTCTCCCAAACTGGTTGCTGTTTTGCCTCCAATTTAGTTGTTCTAAGCACGTAAAAATTACAGCTATAGAAGTACATCAAGAACATAGAATTACCAAAACAGCCGTCAATATCATACGTACATGTGCGCTGTATATTGCATTAAAAATATATCAAAAGGTGTCTTTATTGTTTTGAATCTTCATTTCAGAAATTGATACGACAAGAAAGAACTGAACGAGACGTCTAGGAAAGCAGTAATAGATATTATATAGAATAGTGCGATTTACACCCAAGATTAGATGTAGATATAGTCATATTTCATCTTTAGAGCTTACTAGTTTACCAGAATCAGTTATTCCAGATTTTCTGTTGACAATATCCTCGTTGAGGTCGGTCATAGTCTACAGTTCGTTTGGTCGTTATCACTGATCTAATTATTAAGACAGGGCTTGATTTCCATATCAAGTTTACACATTTGATGAAGAAGAAGACACTTAACTTTCCGGAACGCCTTGTCCTAGTTCCATCTAAATTCAGCTGATTTTGTTTTTTGTTACACTTCAATATTTTGCTACTATTATTGCAAAAGTTACTGTTTCTATATACTTATCTCTTTGCCAACAAAACAAAGCACTGAAACCCTGTTCTGAAAGTTTTTCATACAAAATGGTAAATAGAACATTATCTTTGTAAAAATAATAATAATAAAAAAAAATGGCGAAAAAAGTAAACAATAGTGTAGGCATTTCGACACGTTAGTTCAGTAGAAATTTGCTTCCTTTTTATATAAATATTTCATGAAGGTTGTCCAATTGGCATCACATTGAAATCTTGCCAAATATAATATCAATTTCGATTTGACAACGGTATTCTGATAAGTTACTACCTTGCGTATCTGAGTCTCATCTCATCTGTCTCTGCACACAGCTCGTCACTACCTTGGCCTCCCTGAGCATCACAAAGCGTGTGGTTTACACGACAAACCTCCAAAAACACTGGGCGAAGACGTCCCGTCAATAACTTTGTTACGTCAGCAAACACCATCACAGTAAAGGCCCCGAACACGAACACTCCTATAAGGATTGAAAACACGACAAAGGTTGTTATCAATAACCATATATAAGTATATTGGATAAAAAATGATATTCATATATATGTACCGCGATCTTAAGAAAGTAAATTGCATAGTTGAAGATAAAAATAGAAACGATTCAATTCCTTTTCAGACGTCTCCAGGACCCGTATTCATGAAACCATTCTCATGCTCAAGCATAGATTTTGTGCTCAAGCAAACTTTTTTTTATAATTCTCCTAAATCATATAAAATAATACAAAAGTTTAAATATAAACATGGAATATAACTTTTTTTTATTCTTTGGCAAAATCAGCCTTATTTATTAATTTTTAACTTAAACAAGATATAAGGCTTGATCTCAAAATGCTTAAGCATGAGAACGGTTTCATGAATACGGGCCCAGATGTTAATTTAAAGATGTTGACCCTTTCTCTTCAGACATATCGACGGAAGACTTTTCAAAAGGAAATTTCATCACATGTGTTCCTCATGACGATTTTATGCCGATATTCTTCACGAGAAGAGAGGTAGTCATTCTAATTGTAATGGAGAAAGTTCAGTCATTATTAATTAATTGAGGAAAACAATATTACAAAAATAATACTAATTCATCAATTAGCTGAGTTCCCTATCAGTTTTTTGTCCCTACATTTTGTGTATTTCAGTAAAGAATATGTTCCAGGGAATATATTTCACACGTGTGTAACTGTTTTACACACAGACCTTAGACTGATACACCTATATTTCACACGTGTCTAACTGTTTTACACACAAACCTTAGACTGATACACCTATATTTCACACGTGTGTAACTGTTTTACACACAGACCTTAGACTGATCACATACATTTCACACGTGTGTAACTGTTTCACACACAAACCTTAGACTGATACACCTATATTTCACACGTGTGTAACTGTTTTACACACAGACCTTAGACTGATCACATACATTTCACACGTGTGTAACTGTTTCACACACAGACCTTAGACTTATACATATGCATTTCACACGTGTGTAACTGTTTCACAAACAACGCCTAGACTGCAATATATATATTTCACACGTGTGTAACTGTTTCACACACAACGCCTAGACTGAAATATATATATTTCACACGTGTGTAACTGTCATTCCTAATTTTATCTTTGTTGTGTTTCTTTCTATCAATTTGGGTTTCCATCAGACGCCTCCTAGGTTAGAAAAAAATAATAAAAAGTACGAATAACTTGTGTCTTTTGTACAATCCTTGTCAGATGTTTTGTGATTTTGTGAAATTGTGGATGTTCTTGACGCGCCCGTACCGCAGTGACCGTAGTTCAGATATGTAGGAAGTCGTGTTATTTTCAAACAACATATAGCGAATGGCAACTATCGAAATATACAGGTCTGCCTGGAAATAAACTCCATGTATCACGTATCACAAACATACATTCTCCATTAATAACGTACCCATTCTATCTTATGTCTGTGCTCTTGTAGGCAAATCGTGAAACAATCTAATAGTCTTTTCTATAGCTCTAGGTAGATCGTGAATTAATGAAACAGGACTCCGAAAACAAATATATTCGTGGCGGAAAAATATGCAGCTATAAAAAAAAATTGAGCTACAGCCAACGGATGATATATCAATAATAAAAACACGAGAAAAAACATAGGAATGCAAAACTAAATGAGAAATGATAAACTTTCAGAACATTATAATTCCAATGGGAGAGATTATTCTTCTAATAATAACCTCGCCAATATTGTAAAACGCTTGAAACTCATATTAAACGATGACAAACTTGATTTTAAAATGCAGGTGCATCATTGCACTGACTAAAATGACAGATAGATCATACAGCACAACGTTAATATGATAGTAGTGTATCAGGTTAATACACGTGGTATACTGGAGGCATGTAACACATCAGATTAAGTGTTATTATAATTGACTGGCGGACCTTTTTACTTTATTGCCATTAGAGTCAAATATTACGAGCACGTGGACTGCACAGCTGCAAAATTAGTCAAGAGCATATAATTGCTAAACCAGTCAGTCGTTGTGCACCTGGATTGATAAGTCATACTCGCTGCATTAAAAGGCATTCGTTAACAACTAAGAAAATACCGACAAGAAAATCAATTTGATGAAACTAGGGAAAATATCAATAAAAAAAATCTACATGGAGACTTCTGGGAAAAAAGTACAATAATAATAAGGCCACATGTGCCGGAAGAAGCAGCGTCTTATGCTTCATCCACGACATCTGCAGCAACGCTGCCACCAAGTAAACTAACAAGCATGAAAGACGTCCGACTTCATATCACACAAGGAACTCAACACATGCATCCAACTAGCTTAAGTAAAGAGGCGGTAGTAAAAAATACCATAGCTGTTGATAGGACGGTTAACAATATAAAACCAGACCAAACGTACCTCACATACACAGGCAGGCTGTCCTTATAAAACCATAGCTGTTGATAGGACGGTAAACAATATAAAACCAGACCAAACGTACCTCACATACACAGGGAGGCTGTCCTTATAAAACCATAGCTGTTGATAGGACGTTAAACAATATAAAACCAGACCAAACGCAGTAGTTTACCTATATGATATTTAAATTTGCTCCTGTTACCGAGCAGCAGGATAGAGGCTCGTTTGGCGTCTATTGATATCTAAGTTTTAACTTTCATATTAAATAGTATAAATTTACGTTAGCATGGCAACAATAATCTTACCAAACACACGCTTGAAGCCAAGCAGAGGGATGCCATTACGCCGTCTGACTGACTCCCACCTGACGTAATATTTCATTTAAAACAAACGTTTATTGGCATACAGCAACTAAAGTTACATCACTAACGATGATAATAAGTCGTACATCAAATCGGGTCAGACATCAAACGTAACTTTGACGTCAACTTTCTTGTTATCCTCAAGGCTGAAAAACCATGTTTTTATTCTGTTGATCTTACTGTTTCAACTCATTAGTTGGTTAAAAGCTTCTTGAGCTTACCGATAAACCTAATAAGACGTCTCACGACTTGTGGAACCTTCATTCCGTTACACGATAACCATATTGGTTTCTGTCTCTCGTCAGTGAAGGCCCAGACCCCGATCTCTCCTACAAGTACCTACAAATGAAATGTTTACAACATATATTTCTCGTCAGTGAAGGCCCTGACCCCGATCTCTCCTACAAGTACCTACAAATGAAATGTTTACAACATATATTCTCGTCAGTGAGGGCCAAGCCCCGATCTCTCCTACAAGTCCCTACAAATGAAATGTTTACAACATATACTTCTCGTCTGTGAAGGCCCAGACCCCGATCTCTCCTACAAGTACCTACAAATGAAATGTTTACAACATATATTCTCGTCAGTGAATGGCCAAGCCCCGATCTCTCCTACAAATGAAATGATTACAACATATACTTCTCGTCAGTGAAGGCCCAGACCCCGATCTCTCCTACAAGTACCTACAAATGAAATGTTTACAACATATATTTCTCGTCAGTGAAGGCCCTGACCCTCTCCTCTCCTACAAATGAAATGATTACAACATATATTCTCGTCAGTGAAGGCCAAGCCCCGATCTCTCCTACAAGTACCTGCAAATGAAATGTTTACAACATATACTTCTCGTCAGTGAAGGCCAGGCCCCGATCTCTCCTACAAGTACCTACAAATGAAATGTTTACAACATATATTCTCGTCAGTGAAGGGCCAAGCCCCGATCTCTCCTACAAATGAAATGATTACAACATATACTTCTCGTCAGTGAAGGCCAGACCCCGATCTCTCCTACAAGTACCTGCAAATGAAATGTTTACAACATATACTTCTCGTCAGTGAAGGCCAGGCCCCGATCTCTCCTACAAGTACCTGCAAATGAAATGTTTACAACATATACTTCTCGTCAGTGAAGCCCCAGACCCCGATCTCTCCCAGTAATGAATACAAATGAAGAGTTCAGAACACCTCATGGTGTATGGCGAACACAGAGGAACTCTGACAGAAGCACATTTGCAACTTAGTGGTACACAAATATATCATTATTACCAAGGTGGGAACACTGTAGTATACAAACAACAAAAAGAGATATTCAGAAATATACTTAAAAGAAAACACTTATTATGAAGAAGGTACACAGAATTACACTTACTATGGAGGTGTCACAAAATTAATTGCACATCCAAAAGGGTATTTAGTAAATAGACTTACCACAAACGGAGGAACACAGAAGCTAAGAGCGTAGATCGTGGCATGAGGAACACTGCCGTCATAAACGAAACTGGCGAAGCCCGATTCAGTTGCCCGAGCACTGATGGAGGGGTCAGTACATGAAAACGATAGTCGGACGATAGGGAACAGTGACGTCCATCTGTAAAGCAAAAGCGTTGAAAATATTTACTGAAAAACATCGGTCACGTCTTTATAGAATGTAACGGGTAGGTTAAACAAAATCTACACAACGTTTTATACAGCGCTCCATATTTGGTAAAAATGCAACAATTGGAAAGAAAGCATATCGAAGCACAAAACTCCATGATTAGAATTTATTTCATATAGAATTATTAGGGTAAAAAACTGGTGTCATCCATCCTTAAGTGTCGATATATACATATTATAGGTTTTATATATATAAAACATACGTCACAAGACAAACAAACACATAAGGTGTACACGCCATGTCCAGGAACCAATCAATCCTGTTCTCATGTTAACGAGTGACTCGTGAATGAAATTTTGTCATTTTTTTAAAGTATACAAACAAGACCTGATTATTGAGATGAAAAAGAAACTAGCTTCATTGCAATGCAATATGTATGGCCGGAACCAATCCCTAGATCAGCTAGCTTTACGTAATGGGATTAACCTTGTCAATATTCTGTCTTGAAAGCATTAGCTGTAGAACAACAAATCTAGAATACGTGAAAACATATGAAAGGAACAGAAACTCCATAGGTGGGTCTATTTGTTGTAAATTGTGTACATGACAATTGTAAACATCCCACTGATCCATAATTTTATATCATTGTTTGGTTAGACTTAATGTCAGATCTGATGTATGTATTAATTTCCTTAGATATACCGGTAACAGCGCCCATTATAGGTTATAATAACCAACATGACATTTTCGAACAATTTTAATATTGATCTGAACGAAAAGCTAATTAGATATAATAACAACAACCTTTACCTAAGAAAGTATTCCAATACCACCATAAACACCAAAATAATTAGTTCCAGCAGAAACGTGGCAAGGACAAGGCTGTTTTTTCGCGCGTTTTTTCCATTGTCTTCTTCTCCATCTTCCTCCCTTGTTTGATTAACGATAAACGTCTCTATCCCGTCCTTTCTATTATGTTCGTCCACTGCCATTTCTGTAGGATGAATTAAAAGCATTAAAAAGAGATAATGTTGCACCAAAAATCAAACAAGACGACAACGTTTCACAGACTGAATAAGGTAATAATCATTTGGACGTTTAGTAAACAAGGTTTGCACCAACCTGCATGTCACGCTTTAATTCATTAGAATAGTGGCACGGTTCAGAATATAAAGATATACTTGACACTGTCTTTAAATTATTAGATGTAAGAAAATTAGGAAATCCATTGAATGTTTGGGCTAATACACCTCCCATTTTAGATTTTGATTTTTCTTGCGATCACTTTTGATTTTCGACGGGCGCTCCCAATACTTGAAATTTTAGGCCCTTAGCATCACTGACGAGTCTGTAAGGACGATTCAGCTGTATGGTGTAGTTAAATTCATTTCTCGGCTTTACTATAGTATGTGCCTTTTTATACTTTCTTCAATATTGTAGGTGGTAGACAATGCTTGAGGACTTAAAGTCGCTGAGGTTTGCCGTAACCTGTATGTCACGTTTTAATTCATACTTAAACATGTATCTGACGTTGTTCTTGAATTATCTGATATTTGAAAATTACGAATTTCATCGAGTTTTATACACATATACTATATATATCATGTATCCTTCATTAATATCCATGCATAGCCCGTATACAATGATACACATGTTCTAAGGGAGACAATCACTAGATTTCATGTTTACATACACACTTTTGTGAAGGGAAGGAAAATAAAACCAAAAATTGATAATGTGCGAAAGGTGTTTAATTATTTTTTTTAAAAACACTGTGTCTGATTAATACCTCACAATCCGTGTTAGCACATTTTCATCTTTAAAAAATCTTCTGTATCGTGTCATATTCCCAGTGTGTTGTATCACCTGACATTTTCATTGTATTATCGTACATTATATTACAATGTATTTTACGTCATCCATTTAGTACATTGTATAAACCTTTAACTATATCCACCTGTCATAATATGATTTTGATACCTTACCTTCACCTATTAATGTCCTATTTTTTTTTTACACTTGTCATATTTGTCCATGTCTGAACTAGTTTAATGTTTATTCTAATGACTTTCTGACGAACGAATTACCATAGGTCGCCGTATACACGTTTAGTAATATATTTTTAGGAACATCGGTATTATCACCCACCTAAACCAAATTGTTTATCTGCCAACTTTGTATCTAGAATGTCATAAATTGCAAGTGCTGACGTCATCAGCAGAGTCGTCTTCCCACACGTGTGTGAAGGCATAACACCTGATGTATGCACAGCTGAAATCTTTCTTAGTTGGTTGGTTGGTATTTACATAAGAAGATTTCTAAAACACAAAGACCTGAATAACACCTTTCAGTATAAATTTAGAAATACTTAACAGCTGGGTCGTCCTTCTAGGACTCGCTAGGACTAACTTGCCTATGACGCTACGGGCCTAAATTGTTCAAACCTAGGATGCAGCTGAGAAAAATCGAAATTTGTCGATATAAACGTGAGAAAAATCTGATGAAGAGGTCTACTGACACAAAAATTCAATAGATAATTTTCAATTTTTGCATGATTTTTTTTTAAAAAAGAAGTTTACACAAACATCGGAGACTACGAGCCCAACTTGTACAGTTTCACACACGAATTTAAAAGATTATACGAAAGTCACATATGATATTGTTTTAAAATTTTAAATGTTTGAAGTATCATGAAGTATTGAATGATATTTCAATTTCTTTTGATATAAGAGTATTTCAGTGACAACAACAATTAGCTGTATTTCTTTTGTCTTAAAGTACTGGCTGTGACTTTACAGTTGTTATGCTATATAAGGCGATCCTTCACGGCTTTTTATCACCAGAAAGCACAAAATCAGAATTCATATAAGTTACCAGTAATGGCCAATAGCTCGAGAAAAATCTAAAAACATGAAATGATAAGATATTTTTAAAAATGTAGATTGAAGAAGCACCAAAATAACGGCGTATACAGGGTTACTGATGTACAGGACTACACATGTTATCATACAGTAACTGTCATCACCTAGATCATCACGTATACAGGGTTACTGATGTACAGGACTACACATGTTATCATACAGTAACTGTCATCACCTAGATCATCACGTATACAGGGTTACTGATGTACAGGACTACACATTTTATCATACAGTAACTGTTGTCACCTAGATCATCACGTATACAGGGTTACTTATGTACAGGACTACACATGTTATCATACAGTTACCAATGTTATCACACAGTTACCAATGTAACTTGTAATTAACACTTGTAAATCGACAAAACGTCATTGCATAACCATGATTATCACACTTTCATGAAGTACAAATGACATTTCGCTCAAGTAACTTTGTATGTCAATACTTATTTATAATTCAATAAACTGGAGTAAACTAACACATTGATAAGAACGAGGCTAGATAAATGTTGATAAGTTTAAGAAACATATTCTAGGTTTTTTTTCAAAATTATTCCTCATTTCAGTTAATGATATTGTAGATTTCACTGTCTCTTGTCTTACTATTTCTACACGTGGTGAGGCTGGAGTAGATGTCACTGTCTCTTGTCTTACTATTTCTACACGAGGTGAGGCTGGAGTAGATTTCACTGTCTCTTGTCTTACTATTTCTACACGAGGTGAGGTTGGAGTAGATTTCACTGTCTCTTGTCTTACTATTTCTACACGAGGTGAGGGTGGAGTAGATTTCACTGTGTCTTGTCTTACTATTTCTACACGTGGTGAGTCTGGAGTAGATTTCACTGTCTCTTGTCTTACTATTTCTACACGAGGTGAAGGCTGGAGTAGATGTCACTGTCTCTTGTCTTGCTATTTCTACACGAGGTGAGGCTGGAGTAGATTTCACTGTCTCTTGTCTTACTATTTCTACACGAGGTGAAAGTTGGAGTAGATTTCACTGTCTCTTGTCTTACTATTTCTCTACTTAAGGTGAAGCTGGAGTAGATTTCACTGTCTCTTGTCTTACTATTTCTACACGAGGTGAGGCTGGAGTAGATTTCACTGTCTCTTGTCTTACTATTTCTACACGAGGTGAAAGTTGGAGTAGATTTCACTGTCTCTTGTCTTACTATTTCTCTACTTGAGGTGAAGCTGGAGTAGATTTCACTGTCTCTTGTCTTACTATTTCTACACGAGGTGAAGGCTGGAGTAGATTTCACTGTCTCCTGTCGTACTATTTCTACACGAGGTGAGGCTGGAGTAGATGTCACTGTCTCTTGTCTTGCTATTTCTACACGAGGTGAGGCTGGAGTAGATTTCACTGTCTCTTGTCTTACTATTTCTACACGAGGTGAAAGTTGGAGTAGATTTCACTGTCTCTTGTCTTACTATTTCTCTACTTGAGGTGAAGCTGGAGTAGATTTCACTGTCTCTTGTCTTACTATTTCTACACGAGGTGAAGGCTGGAGTAGATTTCACTGTCTCCTGTCGTACTATTTCTACACGAGGTGAGGCTGGAGTAGATGTCACTGTCTCTTGTCTTGCTATTTCTACACGAGATGAGGCTGGAGTAGATTTCACTGTCTCTTGTCTTATTATTTCTACACGAGGTGAAAGTTGGAGTAGATTTCACTGTCTCTTGTCTTACTATTTCTCTACTTGAGGTGAAGCTGGAGTAGATTTCACTGTCTCTTGTCCTACTATTTCTACATGAAGTGAGGCTTGAGTAGATGTCACTGTCTCTTGTCTTACTAATTCTACATGAGATGGGGCTGGAGTAAATTCACGTGGAATTCACTTTTTGATAAACCTTGGGACTGCTCATCTAAAAAGCATTTCTTCTGCAAGAACGTTTGATTGATTTTTCATAACATTAGTATATATAACATCAGTATATATAACAACAGTATACATCAGTATATACAAAAGCAGTATATATAACATCAGTATATATAACAACAGTATACATCAGTATATACAAAAGCAGTATATATAACATCAGTATATATAACATCAGTATATATAACATCAGTATATATAACATCAATATATATATACAAAAGCAGTATATATAACATCAGTATATATAACAGTATATATATAACACAGTATATATAACATCAGTATATATATCAGTATATATAACATCAGTATATATAACAACAGTATATATAACATCAGTATATATAACATCAGTATACATCAGTATATATAACAACAGTATACATCAGTATATATAACAAGCAGTATATATAACATCAGTATATATAACATCAGTATATATAACATCAGTATATATAACATCAGTATATATAACATCAGTATATACAAAAGCAGTATATATAACATCAGTATATATAACATCAGTATATATAACAACAGTATACATCAGTATATACAAAAGCAGTATATATAACATCAGTATATATAACATCAGTATATATAACATCAGTATACATCAATATATACAAAAGCAGTATATATAACATATAGTATACATCAGTATATATAACATCAGTATATACATCAGTATATATAACATCAGTATATATAACAACAGTATACATCAGTATATATAACATCAGTATATATAACATCAGTATATATAACAACAGTATACATCAGTATATACAAAAGCAGTATATATAACATCAGTATATATAACATCAGTATATATAACATCAGTATATATAACATCAGTATATACAAAAGCAGTATATATAACATCAGTATATATAACATCAGTATACATCAATATATACAAAAGCAGTATATATAACATCAGTATACATCAGTATATATAACATCAGTATATATAACATCAGTATATATAACATCAGTATATATAAGTATATATAACAATATATAACATAGTATATATAACATCAGTATATATATACATCAGTATACATCAGTATATATAACAACAGTATACATCAGTATATACAAATATATAACATCAGTATATATAACATCAGTATATATAACATCAGTATATACAACATCAGTATATACAACATTAGTATATATAAC